AACCAAACAAATAAATTGGATATTTGGTCATTTAAATTTTGGGTCTTTTTTTTCCTCAGGCAAATACTGTTTTTGGTGCATTGCGTGGATTAGAGGTAAGCATTGTTATTTTCAATGAGTGTTGTGGACAGGGTTTCTAAATGATTGACATATACTTGTAAATTCTTTTGAGTTAGTATATGTGAATTATTTCTTACATCCTTCCTTTTTTATGATGATTACGTAGACGTTTAGCCAATTGTGTTCTTTTGATTATTCAACGAAAAAAGTACAAATATACAAGGCACCTTGGTCCATCCGAGACCAACCAAGATTTCCTTTCCGCGGGCTCATGTTAGGTGAGCCAATATATTTTGTAAAAGAGAGAAGTCTTTATTTTATTTGGCTTGTTCATATGCTTTGATAAGAAGGTGTTGACACAAATCTTTGATTTCTTTTTGTGTTGCAGATACATCAAGACACTATTTACCGGTTAATGTTATTAAGCAGATAATTGAATCTATGTCATATGCCAAACTTGTAAGACAAATATCATTTATACTTTCCTCTTGGTTGTTCGTGACAGTTTGAAATCATGCTGTTTTTCATGTAATGCTGATATGGATTGTTTTACTTGGCAGAATGTTTTACATTGGCACATCGTAGACGAACAGTCATTTCCTCTTGAAGTACCTTCATATCCAAACTTGTGGAAAGGGTCATACACAAAGTGGGAACGATACACAATTGAGGATGCATATGAAATTGTCAAGTAAGATTCTCCGTGTTACGTCTTTGAGTTGGCTTTCTCAATCTGTAGCTAACTAACACCGTTCTCTATTCATGTTTTACTTTGTCGTGATATAAAGCTTTGCCAAAATGAGAGGTAAGGTATCTCGAAATCCTTTTGAAGTTTCCATTTCGTATTATTCACAGCACTTTGCAGTTTTGATCTTACAAGATAATGTAATATTTTTTCTTTGGAATAAGATAATGGAATTTTCTATTTGCATCGTTTTTCACAGGTATAAATGTGATGGCAGAAGTGGATGTCCCTGGTCACGCAAAGTCATGGTAAAGCTTATGCAATGCTCAGTTTTCTCTTAAGCTGATAGTCTTTTCAATTTATACTAAGGCTTAGTTTACCTTGGTAATGTTTTAAGGTTGTTGTTTTTTGTTTCTGTTTAGGGGTATTGGATATCCAGATGTTTGGCCATCGCCCTCGTGTAAGACCCCACTCGATGTTTCAAAGGAGTCTACCTTTGATGTACTTTCTGGCATTATGACAGGTTAAGTTCCTATGAAACATGCATCAATTTTCTAAATGAATTTATGCCGTTTTACTTTTCTAACTATTTTCTTCTAAGCTTACAGATATGAGAAAAATATTCCCCTTTGAACTATTTCACTTGGGTGGTGATGAAGTGGATACAGGTCAGTATGCATGGATTTTTCTTGCAAGTTGCTAAATAACCACTAGACATAAAATCTTTAATCTGTTAAGCAAAGTCCTAAGAATCATTTTTATTATTAGATCTAATTTTGTCACTATAGTCTATAGACTATGATGTGGAAATGTGTAACAATGTTTGCGGCTTAGTACCAATGCTAATTTATAAGAAATCGCTGTTTATTTTGACAGATTGCTGGACCAGTACTTCTCATGTGAATAAGTGGTACAAATTTTAACCTTTTTAATACTCATTCGTTTACATTCTATGATGACTTTTTTTATTGCCTAAAGCTGTAAATTCACTATGGAAACTCAAATTTAATTGAAAATGTGAACCTTGACATAGAAAGTCGTTTTCCCCCATATCCGGTGGTCAAAGAAAATTAACCATCAAAATCAGTGAATTTAATTATTATCATGCATCAAGCAAAATATTCAGACATGGCTTCATCACTAATGCAGGCTTCAGAGTCGCAACATGACTGCTAATGATGCTTACGAATATTTTGTACTGAAGGCTCAACACATGGCTCTTTCGAAAAACTGGACTCCTGTGAACTGGTATGATATACAGAGATCTAATCTAATGATGCTTACAAATATTGAGCAATAATCGTAGCCATATTATATAGATGCGACCTTTTTATGTAACTTATCAGGGAAGAAACCTTCAATACGTTTCCGACAAAGCTCCATCCGCGAACTGTAGTGCATAACTGGTGAGTTCTCGTCCGTGTAGTTTTATTTTGGCCAGAATCTCAAACGACTCAGTCCTAAAGTATTTTAAGTAATTACTTTTATAGGTTGGGCTCCGGAGTTTGCCCGAAGGTTGTTGCAAAAGGCTTGAGGTGTATTTTCAGTAACCAGGGTGTATGGTATCTTGACCATGTAGATGTACCTTGGGATGTTGTCTATAACGCGGACCCACTAGAAGGAATACAGGAAGCTTCTGAACAAAAACTTGTGCTTGGTGGAGAAGTTTGCATGTGGGGTGAGGTAGCTGATACGTCAGATGTTCAGCAAACAATATGGCCTCGAGCTGCGGCAGCGGCAGGTTAGTTGTCTTACTAATCCAAAGATGTTTTTCATTCCCTCTTATAGTTAATTTTAACAGTATAGATTCAAAAGTCATATGAAGGGCTCATATCATGTGCTATGAAGTACCGACATAGACATCGTGCACGACACTAGACATTGATAAAAGCATAAAAAATTAAAGTGATTATATGTAACCACACGTGTCAGGGCCGTGTCGATGTCAGACAGACCTTAAATCTTGAATATGAAAAATTAACAATTAATTGCATGTGTTGAACAGAGCGTTTGTGGAGTCCGAGACAATTTACTACAGGCAGAAATGGTAACTTAACTGCATTACCGCGGCTGCAATACTTCAGATGTCTGTTGAATAGAAGAGGGGTTGCAGCTGCTCCTGTCACAAATCTTTATGCTAGAACTCCTCCTACAGGTCCAGGTTCATGCTTTGAGCAATAATTTCTATGGACAGTAATGATGTTGTAAGTTATTTTGGTATTCAATTCAATAATAAGAAGAAATTTTTGGCCGCAATGCACATCGCAACAACCGCATTTCGGTCCTCTTATTTTTAAATTCATAATTGTAGTCTATATTTTAGTTTTCTATTTTACTAATTTTGTAAATTAAACTCTACATTTTAAGATCAATTTCTTTGAGTCAACGATAGTATAGAGATATATTCTCAAAATCCATGCAAAACAAAGCATCTAGGTGTTTTCATAGGATTACATCAATTTCTTTGAGAGAAGAGGACGTGGCATTTGTTGGTGAGGGTGGAATGAGGTGCTTGAGAACATGGTATGCTGAAGCATGAATTTTGAATAGTTCAAATCAAATATTGTATTGGATTTTTCAATGTCAAGAGAGACTAAGATGAAATTTGTGATGTTGGAATGGCGTGAGCAAGATGGGTGAGAGAGATGGTGGTTTCGGTAGTAGGTTTGAATGTTGATTTAGTAGAGAGGGAGTCTCTGCAGCACATTTGTCCTATGCACTAAATATATTCAAGTTGTTTAGTTGTTTGGCACACACACTCTATTTCTCCTCACGACAATCAATCATTAACATAAGGACCACATCTCACATGATAGAAAACAAAGGTTTGTTGGAAGTCCTTCATAATATTCCAATTATTGGCTGAGGTAATGCATTGCTAGCTAATCCTTAATATCCCGTAACCTTAAACAATGTCTTCCATGCAACTAAATGGATCAAACATATTGTTTATGCGAGAAACATTACCATTGACAATAACAATTATGTTGAACTTAATTTTTTGGTTTTTCTGTGAAGGATTTTCAAACAAAGATACCTTTAATGAGATGCAACAGCTCAAATGACCTTTATCATCTCGACTCTCGCCACAAGATCATATAATCAAAGTATCAAAAATTCCCAATTAGTAAGTTATGCCATTCAGATTCAGTGCTGCAAGACACACCTCATGAGATCCTCTCAAATTTTCAATTAGATAGATAATGGGCCTTGGTAAGAAAAAGAAATAAATAAAGATAATTTCTTTCCACACATAGTACTCTTCTTTTAGACCTCGGTAAAAAATTTAAAATATCTCTAGAATTTGAATATGAATATCCCAACGCATCTTATTTTTTATGAAAAAAATTGGTTTCGAATATACATATCCGAATACACCTCATTTTTTATGAAAAAAAGTGGTTTCGGATATGCATATTCGCATTTTACGAAAAAACGAGGTGCGCTCGGATATGCATATCTGAATACACCTCATTTTAAAAAAAAAATGGTTCCTGATATGCATATCCGAATTTAACTCTGTTATAAAAATTTAAAAATACAACTAAAAATCAAATAAAATTAAATTAAATGTCTACAGATGTTTTCAAAAATATGAAAACGCAAAATAAATCAAATAAAATAGAAAAACAAGAAATTTATGATTTTTAAAGCAGAGTCCATTACTTTGTCAAAATAGGGGATTTCAATCCCTGATTTTTTCCGAATAGATTGACACGGTAACATTTTAATTTAGAGTCGGTTTTTCAGAAAAGTAAATTTTTTATGTTAGATCGCGTAAATGTCAGAGACACATGAACACAAGTTCTAGAACACCAAAATTATTTAGTTACATTTTATTTTATTATAAAATATATCAATTGTTACATTTCACCGTTATAATTAAAAATTTAATTATTGTTTTGTTTAATTTCATATCATAAATTTACTTTGATATTTAGTTTTCAATTATAAATTTAACTTATTCTTTATTAATAATAGTTTAATTTAATTATATTATTACTATATTATAAATAAATATCTTTTCAAAAAAAAATTTGGGATATTAAGTTATTTCGGATATACATATCTGAAATCTCCCTGAAAATAAAAAATAGAGATTCCTTCAGATATGCATATCCGAAATAACCTAATATTCTAAATTCAACGTTCAGATCTGCATATTCGAAAGATATTTTTGAATTTTCAGTGGTGCAAATTACATACGAGATGTAAAGAGAAATTTTCATAAATAAATAGCATTTTCCATTTCAAAATGAATTTATCACCTTCTTCTTCCTCTCATTCCAAATTTACGATGAAGCTTCTCGTCGACACTGAAAACGACAAAGTTCTCTTTGTTGAAGCATCCAAAACGGTATTTGATTTTCTTCTCAACATTCTCTATTTGCCTTTGGCCACTGTTGCTCAACTCGTCGATGAAAATGGAATGCTAACCGGCGTATGTAACATGTATCGCAGTCTTCAAAACCTCCCAGATGAATTCTTCAATTCATGCTACCAAGGGTTACACCCTCTACTACCGCCCTCGTCCTAAGGTAAATTACATTCCACTATCATTTGAATCAAAGGTCACCATAAACTCTATTCTGATGATCTTGCATTCTCTATTCATTCAAATTTGCCCTTAAAATCTTTGGATGCATACATGCTTACCTCTGGTTTCGGTAAACAATACTGGTCTCTTACCAAAAGTTTACTTGTGAGATCGACCAGGGAATCTCAGTACAGTGCTTCAGTTTTCGAGTGTTTTCACAAAGTGTGTTCAAAAAGGATTCGTTCGACAGGTGCCAAACGAGTTTATAAGCAATAAAGCAAGACTTGTAACATAAAATGAAAAACGTTTTAAACTATAAATATAAATGACATAACATCAAAATAGTTGAAAATAAGTTGATTCAAACATACATTGCCCTAACTTGACTCATTTCGCTCGTTCATTTGGGTACTGAGTGACTAGCGTATAAGAATGTGAAAGTTTGAATCTGTAACACTATGCACTAAGTGCTTTATGATAACACGAAAAGTCATAACATATTCCGTCCGATTTACATAGATAAAGTTTCTGATTTTTCATTTATTATGTTGCATTATGTATCTATTTGTAGTATTTGCAACATGTTTCAGGTATTTACTTTTTGCAAAGCCTATATGAGAAAAGGAAGAAAAATGTTGGAGAAATGAAGAAGAAATGACACTTTAACAGCAAAATGTAGAAGATTATGTATCAGAAGGCCATGCCGCCCGTCACAAGCGCATGCCGCCCACCACAAAGCTCAAAAGTGTGCCCCTCGGCACACTTCTTGTCCTGATCGGCATAGACTTAAAATACACGTGCCCCATGCCACAGATCATGCCACTCGTCACAGGTCACATATATCAGTTCAGTTATGAAGTTTTCTCCATTCACGCACGTCTTCTTGATTTCCCTCCACGCATAGAGACTGGGAATCAAGTAACTGCTCCTACATTCCCTCAACAGACCATTTTATAAAAGGCTGGGCAGTTACAAACGAGTCTCTCTCTCTCTCTCTCTCTCTCGCACCCTCTCTAGAATTTATTTTTTTTGCATTACTGAACTTGTTATTATCATTCCAATCTACATAATTTTATTTTTATTTTTATTTTAGAATTCCTTAAGTAGAAAGAACTGATCGCCATTAAAGCAATATTTCTCCACACCGGAGAAGTATTGCACCATGAGTTTCCTTCTCAGTTTTAAGAATTTTGTTTAGGCTTATTTATTTTTCTGCAAGTTATTTTGTTCTGAGGCTAATCTTGCCGGCTTGTGGAGGATAACATACTGTAGTATATTCTTTCAGTGTTTTATTCCAGGTTTCAAATTTAATTAATACAGTTTATTTATTTTACCGTGATTATATTATTGTATGCATGTTTTTATTTTATGTTATTACGCAATAAAACTATGTTCGGCTGACTATCCCGATACCGGTATGTGAGTTCATAAATCAAAGGGGTTCGGTAACTAATTGGCATAAATATTTACAAAAAGACTTTTCTGGCTTTGGTTTCCAATTTCAATATTATATTGTTTTGTTATGAGAGTAAAAGACAGACTAAGGATAAAATCAACAGAGCGAGAGTTTGAGATTTTAACCAGATAGTGGTGATTGAATATTAATTTTAAATACAACGAGAGCGCTTTAAAATTAATTGGACTCTATTTGTTTTCAAAAAATACTTTTAATTTTTAAATGACGCAGCGAGAGCGCTAATTTGAGTTTAATACTATGGCCCAAATCGATAAAACGAGAGTGTGAGACAAAGGTTTTTAAATTAATTGTTTCCACTGAAACAATGTTTTAAATACTTAAAATTGTGCCAATGATTTATTGAATCCCTGAAGTCGATAAATTACATATTGGTGTCTCATTATCAATTATTAGATCTTAGTTAATTCCCATTTAAACCCCAACATCCAAATCATATCATTAGCCTTATCTTTACACAGTGACCCTAGATAATAGTAGTTTGACCATCAGTCTTTGTGGGTCCGATATCTTTTAAAACTACGCGATTAGACTATGCACTTATAGTCACTACACCCGACAAACTCTGAAAGTCACGATCACTTTATTTATAATACACAAAAAATAACTACTTTCTAGCGAACTTCGCTTCTTTGTACGCCACATGTATCTTGTAACTCCTCTCCATGATCCCACATTCTCCATTCGTACTCTCGAACCCACGTTCTCCATGTTTCCATCCAAAACGCTTCACTCGCTTGATGGATCTTTTGGGCCTTTTGACGTTTCTAAGCCAAATGACTTATGAGGTCTTCCCTGGTCGGTTGCTTCTGTTTTCAGGCCCAATCACTTACTTATAGAATCTCTCTATGTCGATTGCATCAGTAGTGGAATCACATAAATCACCTTTTCCAAAGAACCTTTTTGATCCTTTTCTTTTGGTTGGATTTTGGTCCTTGTCAAAAATCCCAACCAACAAATTGCCCCCCAAGATGTCCTTTTCGAATGAAAAGGGTGGAAATGGACATGTTAGTCCTTCTTACTTAGTAGGAACTGACGTCATTGTAATCATGACATTTCTCTCAAATGCCACGTCTGTGAACAAACGACCACTACCATACTTTTTAGCTTCAAATTCCTAGAATAAAATGGCCCCAACTCAACAACTTCTTCAATCAATCGCCACTTGCTTGACACGTGCTGGTCGTGTAGCCATATCTTTCCCACTTTATTTCCAAATGTTTGGTTTTCTTGATGGTATACATACCCTTCTCATATCTTCAATTTCCTTTTAAAACTCTTTGTTTCAATATCAAAGACAACTTCTTGTTTCCGTTTTTTATTTCCACAAAAAAATTCAATCATCCTCATGGCCACTTCAAGCCAACTTACTGAACACATTCAAAAACCTAATGAAACTGAACTGGTCTCCCACATGGATGATTTCTTCGTTGATATCCAAAATACTTTCATTTTGGAACCAACACCATCACGAAACCTTCTAACTTTTCGTTCTCAAGTGTTTCTCCCTTTCACTTGTAAGAAAACCACTTATGCTCTTTTGGGACCTATTCCTGATGAAATTAGAGCACCTAAACAACTGGAATGTTGTTTCCCCACTCATAAGGCCACAAAACCTCCCATTAACAGAGATTGCCCCATAGATTTTTTTCACATTTACCGAACTTCTAAGGTTTTCCGTTCTGCTCCTGCTGTCAACCAAGATTACATTGTGTGGTTAAACAAAGTTGAGAAAGTTAAAGGTGATGTTTGGAAAGCTCAAGGCATTTTTTATTTGATTCAGCTTTCTAGGTATGGACCCAGTTATTGCAATTACATGCTGATTTATGTACTTTATTTTTGGGAAGTCTCCATAAACACCTTCCATTTTGCAACTGGTATGCTTACCCCTACCTTATTCGACATTGCGGCCATTACTGGCCTTCGTCCCACAGGTGAAGCTTTTCTTCCTACTGAAGCCGGCGATAATGTCATCCCTTTTGAAAAGGACATTACTGGCTTCACTAAATGCATTGAGCGCTTTCATGCTAAAGATGTCGACACCGTATCTGACAAATAGCACATTTCTTTCTTGGCTTTGTGGCTTTCCAAGTATGTCTTTTGCAGTCGATCTTTGAAGGTAGCTAAACGGTTTATTGCATTAGCTCACCACCTCCATCTGGATCGAGACATATGCCTGAGAAAAGTCATTTTGGGGTCGCTTTATGAATCACTTAGAGTGGGAGTCAACCATATGACTTCACTCTCTCCTACTGTCATCTATATGCTTGCTGGACCTCTTTGGCTGCTTCAATTATGGTTAAACGCCACTTTTACGAGCCAACTCAAACTGCAACTTTCTGAAGCACAAGAAACTGCATTCGCTCAGCGTGCTAATGAAAGCCTTCATTTGGCTGCAATGACACCCTTCAACAATGACATGACTCGAGATGATTCGCTCAAAAAATACTTTAATTTTTCTTTAGGTGAACTTCTTTTCAGCCGAGCATGGCCCCCTTTGCTTCTAGATAATATGGTCCTGAGTGGTTCACTCGACCATTTCCTCATGTCGATCCCGCGCAACTCCGTGAATCTAAAGCCATATGGCAAGCTTTCTTAACCCCTAAGCTTATTACATCCAAGGTGGGAGCTAATGATAGCGTAACACTTCTGTGTTATCAGCCTAATATGGTGGCTAGATAATTTTGTTTGTGCCAACCTCTACCCCTTAGTTTTTATAAACCCTCCGATGAGTTGTGTCCCTGGTCCACTAGCTATAGTAAGGATGAATGTGCTCAACGTATCCAACATTTTGCTGCTGACATCCCCACCATGAATCCTGTCGCCTTTGAACCCCTCTTCTACACCACTAAGGAGTTATATGATTGGTGGACTGTGCAATTTGTGCAAAGCAATGGTACTCTCAAGTATTTCAAGGCTCGATTGAACCATGCTTTTAAAGCTATGAAATAAAAGTTTAGGAAACATATGGCTTACTATTTTGACTGTCAGTCTCCTTCTTGCTCACTTGCTCTCTTCTTTATGTTTTAACCTTTAATGCTTTGTCTTATGTTATTGCCTCATTTAGCAGTCAAACACAAGAAACATTCCAGGGAAGCTGTCAGTGGTGCGACCGTTTCTCCTTCCACTAATGAAGTTCTTGAAACTTCTTCTCAAGTAATTTCCCGACCTTATGGCTTATTTACTGACCGAATTCCTCTTCTAACATAATGATTATGTTAACTGACTCGTAGGCCTATGAAGCTAACATTGTCGTCCCTCTTGAGCCATCTCCAAAAAGACGAAAACGTTTTACTGGTCAAGAGAAATAAGTTATCGACGCGACTTCGCCTATTCCCAAAAAGTTTAGGTTAACTCGCTCTGAGGCTGCCTCGAAGAAGACCGCTTTTGTTTTCGTGCCTTCTATATTGGTGGCAAAAGAAAATGTTTTGCAGCCTGCACCAAATCAACCAGAGAGTAATAACTCTAGTCCCGAGGGAGACCATCAGGTTCTTTCTTTTCCCAAAGACTTCTATCTTAGGAATTT